AAAGAGTACCTCGGCAGGGTAAGCAGTCATAGCCCGGGGGCGACAGAACTCGTCCGCAAATGTATAATATTCCGAATATTCCGAGCTTTTAGGCCGGTTGAGGGGTATATCACCAGAATCGAGCTTAGATTGAAAAGGGTCGCGAGGGTTTATAGGAGGCAACTTCGAGCAGTTGATTACGCAGAAATTACGCCGTTTTGGGGACGATAAAGAGGATGAAGAGAAGCAGGAAACTGATGGCGCCGTTGTCATCCGCAAACAGTTGGCCATGGTTTTCAAGTTTGGAATTTTTTCTTTTTTCTTTTTTCTTTTTTTCACTTCTCTGTGTTTGGTCGCCTTGTTTGCCCCTTTGGGTCTGGATAAGGGAGTGAAAACTGAAAACCCACTTATCACATCAGACTTGACGATGGGTTCGGGTCGGTCAAATCGGGTTTATATTCTCCCTTCTGTTGCTTTTTCAATATCTCTGTTTTTCCTTACATATTAATCTTTGATAAAATTAGACAATCTATATTATTACAAGAAGTTAGAGCATGTTTGCATACAAGAAATTTAAAAAAAAATCCAACATTTTAATTCAATTATTTTTTTTAACTCAATTTCACTATCATCATATGATCAATATAATTAAATAATATGAATCAATCATTCATACACACCATATCAACCTTAATTCACTATTCATCCACTCACATTATCTTAACTAACCATCACATCAAATCATCTCTCTCCTACTTTTCCATTAAATCAATTTTAATTATTTTATTTTAAATATTATTTTAATATATCCACTAACAACTAAACATCCCACTTTTTTCAAAATTAATCAAACCAAACCAAAAAATCCAACAACACTAAAAATTTTTATATCCAAACATGCTCTAAAACTCGAAATGCTCCTATTATTTCCCATTTTCTGTTTGCTGATGATTCCTTATTTTTTGCAAAGTTGATGTCTCTCATGCTAATTTGATTGTGTCAATTCTTGCCAAATATGGTCATGATTCTGGGCAACTGGTTAATTTTGAAAAATCCTCAATTTTCATCTCTAAAAATACTCAGGAAGGTCTTAGAAATAGTATCTGCTCTGTGCTTTCTGACATTTCTAGAGTCCATCCTTCTAAGTACTTAGGGTTGCCTCTGGAAATAGGGAGGACTAAGAGAGATACATTTCTTTTTGTCAGTGAGTGTATTCAGAATAAGATTAGAAGTTGGAAAAATAGGGTGTGATTGTTTATGGATTCAACTAGTTTTTATTTGGTTTGTTTTTAACTATAGTTAATTTTGGAAAAAAGAGGTATGGTTAGTTGTTAGTGGATATATTAAAATAATATTTAAATAAAATAATTAAAGTTAATTTGATGTAAAGTAGGAAAAAATGATTGGAAGTGATGGTTAGTTAAAATTATGTGAGTGGATGAATAGTGAATTAAAGTTGATTTGATGTGTAAGAATGATTAGTTGATATTATTTAATTATATTGGTAATATTGAAGATAGTGAGATTGAGTTAAAATTGAGATAAATTTGAGTTTTGATTGAATTTTTTACTATTCAATTTATATCCAATCGCCCCCTAAATTCCTTAATGAATCCTATCTTGGCTCAACTACTTCCATATATATCTTGATCAACCCAACACAAGCCCGCATCTACTAATAAGGGCGTAAGTGTTGTACTAGGTCTAAGTAAATCACTCTATACATGAATTGTGTATTGACCTCAAGGCAAAAGACTATTGCACCATTCCACACACCGATACTTCCATAGACAAATAAACAAATGGTTTATCGGTAGAGTATACCAATAGTCTCCAAAGTATTTATATGTCCATCATGAAAATGTCGGTTCAATGATCCCGGATCATAATCGTGGGTTCATTGAACCGACCCGAAAATGTCGATTCAATGATCCCGCTCGTGCATATGTTCGGGCCTGTTCATGACCCTCCAAACCCCAGCCTGATATTGGCCTGAAACTGGGTTTTGGCAACATTGAAGTACACGTGAATTGTACTAGTTCAATAATAAAATTCATATTTATAAGTGACTAACTAGTCAACTGAAACAACCAAAAGTTGAATTCAGAGGACGACGTACAAGTGGGATACACTGTAACCTAGAAACAACTACACTAAAAACGTACACACAACATGATACATTTGAGTATTGTAAATTTCCCTTAAAATTTGTAATACGCTTAGGCGTGTTTGGATATAAATATATTAGCTCAATATGAGTTTTTTTTTATTAACTAAGATTAATTGTAATAAAGATGGTATGATTAGTTGTTAGTGAGATTTTGAGTATATATTAGAATAATATTTAAAATAAAACAATTAAAATTGATTTAAATGTAAAGGTAGGAGAAGATGATATGATGTGACGATTAGTTAAAATTATGTGAGTGAATGAATAGTGAATTATAGTTACTTTGTACAATACCTTGTACTACACGGGCACTTGTTAAAAAATTATTTTCAAAATTAAATAATAATAACACAAAAATTATTTAGTTTCTAAATACTTTTTTGAAAAATACATTATTATATATATATATATTTAAAATGACACTGACGCACGACTTACTTCCCATCTTATATTATATATATTTTTTAATTTATATAAGATAACTACTTTGTATTTAAGTTAGTATAAATATTTTTTTTTCGAATTAATATTAACATGTAATTTAATTTTAATTATAGGATAAATAAAATTATTTATTTATTTTGTATCTATAATATAAATGTCAAATTGAAACTTATCAAAACATAATCAATTTGATATATTATATAAAAAATATTATAAATAAAAAAATTATTTATTTTTAAATATATTTATAATTTAAGTTAGCAAATTTGTTATAATTTTAAAAGAAATATGAGGAAAAAAGAAAGATTGAGAAAAAGATTATTACTTATAAATCACTTCTAAAATAGAAAATAATATTAAAACATAATTTAATATTCATAAAAAGGACCATAATGTAATATATTTGTGAATATTTTAAGCCTAGTTAATTTTGGATTGAAAATAAATTAAAATTCATCCAAAATAAATAATAAAGATTAAAAATTGCCACATAGAAACTCGAAGAGTGCGAACTTGTCACTTAAACTCAGCACATTCAAAAATTATATATAAAAGAATGTGATGTATAAAAATTATTTATTGATTATTTAATTATATTGATAATTAATAATATTAAAAATAGTAAAATTAAATTAAAGTTAACTAATGAATTGAAACATTTTATAAACAAATTATACATTTTGCAGCAAAAGGCCGCAAAGAGAAGTTTCAGGATTTCGCTAAACCCTACGAAGTCGTACCTTTTCTCTTCGACTCCTTCAGTAACCTGCATAACGCGGGTTACCATTTCTCCTGAAGCGGAAGCTTGGAGCTGCCAACACGCAATTTTTTCCCTCCCCGAAAGATATCAAAATATATAAAAAAATAAAACGGCAAACCAAATTAGAGAAGAATCCATGGCTTCGGATGCTTCTGATGCTCTTGCAGGTAAGTTCTAGCCCTTTATCTCCTCTTTTATAGTGGATTAACAGTGACCCATCACTAACATGGAGTTCAGCCTTCTTCTGATGCATTTTTATGGGTGCAGTCAGGGAAAAGGTTCAGACATTCTTAAATGCTGCGCAGACTGGAAATCTAGACCTCCTCAAAAGTAAGCACATCAGTTTCAATTTTCTAGAGTATTCTCTTCATCTTGTACTTAAGTTTATTTGTTTGCTCTGATGTGGGTTTCTTTTTCTTGGGAACATTCAGAATACGCCCAGCTTCTTGACGATGGAAAAGGGTTGGCCCAGACGGTGGCGGCTGTCAAGGATGCTAACAAGAGAGGGCCTTTGCATTTTGCTGCGAGAGAGGGTCAGATAGAGGTCTGCAAGTACCTGATAAAGGAGCTGAAGATGGATATTAATACGAAGGATGAAGATGGTAAATGTAGTAGTGGGCCTTTATGAACACATATAGTAAAATCAATGGCACATAATCTGACCTGGTTGAGGATGAGTGTCCTGAAGCTACTGTAGAGCTTCTGTAGATATCGAAATTTTAATATTTTATTAATTAGTGTCTTTATTTTTTTATAGACATAATTCTAAGATAAATAAGATATTTAATTAATAAAGTAAATATTACTTGCCCACAAGTCAAATCTTAGGATAAAGAAAGAAATTATATCAAATCTTAGGATAAGGAAAGAGATTATATCAAATTATGAAGGACCAATCAAATTGATGTCTTTTTTTTCAAGACTCTCTCTCCTACACTTATAAATAGGGCTCTACTCAATAGGGTTCTCCTCAATGCCACAAATCACACCTCAAAAATCCAACACACCTTAAACACCTCAAAAAAATCCAACACCTCATAAATCAAAGTCATAAATCAAAGTCTCAATTCAAAGAGCTCTCAATAATTCTCTTGAAGATTGAAAGGTGTTCTTGAAGATAAGGTGTCCAAGTCCAAATCTCCAATCCAAATTCAAGAAAAGAAGAATCAGAGTAGATAATAGAGATTGTACCCGCAAATCGTTTGATCAAAATAAATCAAGTTGTACAAAAGTTTTATGTTTTTCATAAAATTTGTTGTTACAGCTACTTGTCATGCTAGTTAAATTGTTTTAACTCCATATTTATTTTTATTTACTGTTAGGAGAGACTCCTCTTATCCATGCTGCCAGGCAAGGACATACTGCAGCTGCCAAGTACCTTGTGGATAGTGGTGCTGACCCTTCTATAGCGAGTGATTTGGGGGCCACTGCTCTTCATCATTCTGCCGGAATAGGTAACTTTTATGATCCTTGTCCACTTTCTGATCAAAGTTTGGTACAGTGTTGAACCTTACATATGACTACGAGTTAAATGTTCATTTATTTACAAGTAATGGGATTGCATTATATTTTCTCGTTTCGTTTGTGTGAAAGTCAAATGATTCTTATTGCCCTTGCTCGCAGGAGATGTTGAATTGCTAAAATTTCTACTCTCCGAGGGTGTAAATAGTGATTTACAAAGTGATGCTGGTTGCCCACTTATATGGGCTGCTGGTCATGCTCAGCAAGATTCCGTCAAAGTTCTACTCGAACATAATGCTGATGTAAGCTAACTATCAATTCTAAAAAGTAGGTGTTTACATGTATCTGCCACGTAATATCATAAAAGTGGCATTTTAAGAGACAGCTGATTGTATCTGTCATGTTGGCATTTATCATAAATTGAGGTGAAGTTCAAATGAAGTACTTCACCATCTGGTCCGCTTGATTTATTTATGCAATACCACAGTGCGGTTTGCGGGGCCGGGGTCTGTAATGCCATAGTGCCTGGATACAAATAAGACTAAGTACCTTATGTCCTCTATATTGCCCGATGCTTATGTAATATAGAAAGTAAAACATAGTCTCAAGAATGATTGACTTCCAACCAAATATGGTATTACACCTCCTTTGATATGATGATTGTAAAAATTAGTCTTGATCGCATGACACTTATAAGTTATTAAGAGAACCATTTGACTACATCCCCAATATGGAACCTTGTAATTTGTTAGTTAGATGTGTTCATGTTTATGACCTAAATTTTTAGGATGTCAAATGGATAAGCAAAAATTGTGTAATTAAGCTTCTTGTTATATTTATTAGTTAGTTCTCTAGAAGATAAGGGGGATTGTTCTTGGTCGGGGAACGAGCTTATCATGCTATGTGGTTGAAAATTTCATCCAACAATAGTGTAAAACTTATATTAGAAGGAAGCATAAAAGTAGGCATCCTTTTCATGAATTAATATAGGAGATCAGAAGAATAAAAGAACTTTATTTTCCTTCTTGAATCATGAGAAAACTACAGTTACAGGACGTGAATATATTATCTTGTGAGAATTATGTGCTTACCGTTGGTTTGTTGTTTTGTCTGCAATTGTTGCAGCCAAATTGTAAAACAGAAGATGACATCACTCCTCTACTATCTGCTGTGGCAGCTGGTTCAGTAGCATGTTTGGAGTTGTTAATTAAGGTAACATATTTAACTATGGTCTGTAATCTTTTTATTTTCTCCCACGCATTTGCTTTTATTACCAACCATTTACACAATGGTTTGACACATGCAACTTCCCCTCGTTTTCTTTTCTTGAAGATATTTGTTTTGATTTATCATCAATCCATATGAAAACACATAGATCGCTTTCCTGATAAGATATTAAACAATTTGGTCAAGTTGAATTAAACTGACAAGGTATGAGGGGTCGTGCAATCTTCATGTCATACATAAAAGAAAAATTTTAAGTGGAACCTTTGTACTTGGCTCATTGTATTGAACTGGATTAAGAATTCAAATTCAATAAAAAAAAAATTAGATATGGAGCTACATGTCCTTAGTCGGTAGTGTTTGGTAAAATTGAATCAGATTATCGCTTTAATTTTGATTAGCAGTCCCTAAATTTTATCTTATTTCTCCCATTAGGTCGTTTTGTTAAAATCATCAAGTACATCTGAGAGCTGTTATTTTCTTGTTTCATATAGGCAGGTGCAGCAGTGAATGTTACTGCAGGTGGAGCAACACCTTTACACATTGCTGCTGATGGTGGAAGCCCAGAAATCATTAACTGCTTATTACAAGCTGGGGCAGATCCTAATGTCACTGATGAGGTAAGGCAAAAATTAACATGCCTAAGTTTTTCAATTTGGTTGTTTCTTTAATCTATAGAAGCAAATAGAACTCTGTTCTCTTATTAATATTAGCTTCAACTGGATCATTCGAGAGAGAACCACATAATGATGTTTCTTCAATAATCTATTCTGAATGGGTCGATGTGGGATAGACCAGTTCTTGCCACTGGCACAATAGATTTATGTATAGCCCCAACTATACTCATTTGTTGTAATAAGAGATTCGTCTGATCAGTGAAAGAGCAGTCCCCATGTGTGATAAGTAGAGAAGAAGCATTGCTTTAATGTGCCTCAGTCAAAATTTAAGACAGTTGAGATCTTGAGTAACATTCCTACGTTATATGAAAATTGTCAGAAATTTATACTAAAAGGATTTTGCCTGTAAGAAATTGTTTAGATTTAATTACATGTACAAAATAATGTCACAAACTCTGATGATTGGTTTCAATAGAGCGTTGATTCTTTATGAACTTGCAGAAACATTGGTTTATTTTGAACCAATATCGTCATTCAAGTATTGGAAGCACATCTAATCATAAATTATTATTATTATTATTATTATTTATTTTTTTTTTGCTGCAGGATGGCTTGAAGCCAATACAAGTGGCAGCTGCCAGAGGAAACAAGGTGGCTGTTGAAATTCTTTTCCCCTTAACATCTGCGATTGCATCTGTTCGAGAATGGAGTATTGATGGAATTCTTCAACACATGCAACATAAATCAGGCAGAAGCGAGGTACTTGCACTTTCAGATATTGAAGGGCTGACAACATTTGGTTTGTCTTTTGTCAGTATAATTATAGTGGACAAATGTTGGATACGTCAGATGTTGATTATCTTATACATACATGTTAGCCTAAACTGGCCTTTATTCTGTTTTCTTTTTCTTTCTTTCCTATGCACACATACACGATTTATGTGATGGTACATATACTACTGAGTGGCCCTAGGACCAGTTGCAATCTTTTCTTTCTTGGATACTATGTTTCTGCTTACCAGATTTTATATAATGGTAACGTAAACTAATGCAGGATGAAAATAACAACTTGAAGGAATCTAACAAACTGAAGGATAATGCATTGTCAAAGCAAGATATGCCGGAGGTCTTTCTCGACTTACTCTTAGATACATATTTTCTCGTTTCTTGCAGAAGCATTTTTTTTTTCTTTTTCAATTATTTCTCACCTGCCATGTATTTCTTATTGGATATTTTCTCATTGATGGGTTATTGTGGATTGTGTTTGGGAATATGCATGCTTTTGTGGATCATATCGGCTCTGTATCCGCATTTTTTTTTCTCATTTTTCCTTTTTCTTCTATACTTAATCTACCCCTCCTGCACCATTGTTGATCTGCACTGCGCGAAGCTAGGAAAACAAGGCATAATTGATAAGCTGGTAATAGTCTGATAGAGAAAACGTTAAACACTAGAAGAACTGTTTCATGTTTCATTTCCCTTGTCTTGAGAAATACAGCTCAAGTTTGGTACCTTGTCATTTTACTTCTTGAACCTAACCAAAAAAAAAAAAAAAAGTGTTGGAAGCATGCGAATCCTGTTATAATCCTAGCAATCTCATAATTGGTGCCTCTATATTCTTGTGGAGATTTTGAATGGTATAATGGTGTTGGCTGTTGAGTAATCCAGAACTATCCAAAATTCATTATCTGTAGTATCCAAAAAACACAATTATGGAGCGGCACCAAATTGGTGTGATTTGGGTATCTTTTTGTTATCAGTTAAGGTGAAGAAGGGTCGTTTTTATTTGTAGTACTGTTTTCATTGTTACTCATTAATGAACTTCAATGTCCAGGTAACAGCTGAAGCCAAGAAGAAGGCTGCTGAAGCGAAGGCCAGAGGTGATGATGCTTTTAGGAGGAAAGACTTTATGGCTGCAATTGATGCTTATACACAGGTGCATATTTTGTCTGAAATTGACACATAATTATTTTGCATTGCACCCCCTTTTCTATTCCTTTCAGGTGGTTCAAAATCTTTACTATATGTCGATATACTGTTTTTAATTCTATTTTTTTAACATTTTGGCATGATTTTCTCATCATGAATAATAATCTGTTAGTTTGGGAGCCTTGATACTTTGTTCCAAGTGATAACTTCTTTAGCCTATCAAGCACAACTTACATTTTACTAAACATATGCTCACAGTAATCCATCTCCTTTTTTATGTTCTTTCTTTATTAAACTGCAAATTAGTATGAATTTTGTATCACGAACACTCTTATTCTTGAAAGCAGGTCTTCATACGGTGTTACAGTGCTAGACTAGTTCTGGTGGATTATAGGGGTAGCCTTGCTAATATGGCTTTTCTGTCCCATTGTTTAAAAGTTGGCTCTCTGAGTGCTTTTAGGCTGTGGTTGAAGAGGTGAATACTCTGTGCTTGTTTGGGAGCCTTATGCAAAACTCCATTTAGAAAATGGACTTTCCAAAAAGTCTCTAATTATTACTTCTCTCAAATGGACTTAGAAAATGAATTACTTATCCAGAAGTGGGTGTCAATTTAACTTCCAGTCATATATGAGTATGCAAATGGATATTTACATTCAAAAGTCTATTCGAGAAGTGCTTCCAAACAAGCACTATATTTGGTGACTGGAAATTGTCCCTAATATTCTGCAAAGTCAAAATGGACGGTACTAGCGGACAACTCATTGCATCGTATAGTCTTTAGTCTGTACTCTCGAGTCTTCTCTGTGATAATGGAGTTGAACTCTACCAACTGATGTTTCCGAGTAAATAAAAGCATTCGGGATTCTAATCATCAACAGCAATTTGTTGTTATCATCTTTATCTGATTATCTAATAACATACATTATTCAAGTGCCAACTCCATTGAAAATCTTTCTACCGCTATTGATTTTTTTGTTTTAAACAGCAGTCTGAATATAGAACTCCTTTTTCACCTTATTCTTCCATGTTAAATCCCAAAAACTCACAGACAGGGAAAAATTTGTGCCCATATTTGAGTAATCATATGATTTATTGAGGATTTTTTAAAGGACACTCTGACTTTCATTAATTTTTGGCTTTTTGTGGTAATCTGGTCTATTTGTAATTCATTTCATATTTTCTATTCTTTCAGCGTCACGTGTTGGATGTTACCTCAACTCTTTGCGTAATCAAATTTTATTCTATATTCTCGTCACTTTAAAATATCATAATATATACTATACATGTATATACATATACATATATGCTGTGCCAAGTGTCCCTTGATTTTGCTATTTGTTACAAGGTCTTTTTTGATGCATTTGCAGGCTATTGATTTGGATCCAACTGATGCAACATTGCTTTCTAATAGAAGTCTTTGTTGGATACGTCTCGGCCAAGCTGATCATGCTTTAGCTGATGCCAAAGCATGCAAAGCTCTTAGGCCTGATTGGCCAAAGGCTTGCTATCGTGAGGGTGCTGCCCTTCGTCTACTTCAGGTGGAAACTTTTTCGAGACAGCTTATTTTAATTGCTATCTACCTGAGATTTTTCTCCGCATTATTCTCTCTCTCTCTCTCTCTCTCTCTCTCTCTCTTTATCTCTCTCTCTCTCTCTCTCTCGTTTCAGTACACATTATATGAACACTTTTTGAACTTTAATGTTTGCAGAAGTTTGAGGAGGCAGCTAATGCTTTCTATGATGGCGTTTTGCTTAACCCTGAGAATATGGAGCTTGTAACTGCTTTCAGGTCTGATTTCACTGCCATATCTTACCCTCTTTACCATTTGTTGTCCTAAATCCTTATTATTGTACTCATTATAGAAGTTTTATCCACTATCCAATGCAAGAAGTTTGCTGAGAGATACCAAAACGAGTCCTTGTTTGTTCAGCTTCTGAGGCATATTTGCAAATGTTTTTTTCCTAAAAACGTAGATAAATAAAGAAACTGCATAATTGCAAATGCTTTTTCCTAAAAACACAGATAACTAAAGACACTGAATAAGATAAGCAATTCTTGGAGCTTCTAGTTTTCAGATTTCAACAGGCAAAAACACTGTTACAGTTTGTTGTCCTTCTAAACCTGTGTTATAGTTGGACAAGATTCTTGTGTAATTGTTCTTGGTTGGTAATTTTTTGGACTGCTCTGTAGGGAAGCTGTTGAAGCAGGAAGAAAATTCCATGGCACTGATCAGCCAAAACCTTGATGACAAGCAACTGCTAGAATGTGGAGAGCTGTTTGGGCATTTGCTGTTCAATTTTGTTTCTTAATGGCTCTTTAGATTATCCCTTCTCTCATATTATTGTGGTCTATCATGTTATTGCGTAATTTTGAGTATGGCCGATTAACTTTTAATGCCGTGTTTACAAGTCAGCTCTAGGAATCGGTTTTCTCTTGCGAGATATTACATGGTCATGTTATTAATACAAGTGTTAGGATACTAACAAGTTCAAGCTTAGTTGAGCCTTTAACGAGAAAATTTTGTAAGCTCAAGCTTGGCTTGTAGGCTTGTGTAACTTTATTAGCTTTTGTACTGCAAGCTTGGCTTGTGGTACCTTTTGTGAGTCCAAGTTGGATCTTGAGTTTGTGAAATTACACTATCCAAGTTGATGGCCATTTAAACAAGATTATAGAATTACAATAAATGTAACATATAAATGAATAATATATTACTTTTTTGTTGTTTATAATGACTCGTGTAATTTGCACATCAACAGAAGATAGGCCTAAATCATCAATCACCGAGCAAAGTATATTTTCTTGTACTGCGTCTCATATTTAATATAAGCCATGAAAATCAATGGATTGGTCTTGCTCAATTATCGCAGCGTTTTTTCTCTATGTATTGAAAACCTTCCTTTCGCGGATAAAAGGATTTGCACTTTAGATGGAGAAATGCCTGCGAAGGGATGCGATCGAAGGGCCGGGTCTACGTTTTTTGAGCGCAGGAGTGAAGTGAGTAGTCCATGAATACGGCCTTGCCCGAGATAGCAAGAGTTGGTAGAAGATCAGGTGGGGCCTTGCAAACAGAGCGCGACTATAAAGGTACAAACGAAGCGAAGTCAAAGAGCTCCGTTCTTCCTATTGGATCGAAGTCTTTATGAAATAGAAGGATTGAATTCCTTGTTGGGAAGCAGCTGGAAGACTAAAAGAGACGCTGTTGTCTATTCTAATTGCTTTAGCAATTTAAGCTGGCTCAGCTCTTCTTTTTAGACTCTGAAGCGTTGATGTCCGGATTTTTTTTGTAGTAATGGACCAACCCTTGACCCTAACCCTCGTACTTTGGTCGAGTCTCACTTTGCTCTCCTGAATGACAAGAAAGACCAGAAGCGTCTATTCCAATACATACACTTAAACCCCGCCGGTGTTCATCCAAAGTATGAGGTTGTTATGGTAGAAGATAAGTCTTGACACAATGGTTGAGGCTCGATATAATTGACCTCTACGGGAAAGATAGCCCCGTTGTCAGCCACGCTTTGTTTTGAATGTTCAATTGAAAGAGGGTGGCTGCGAACAAGGACATGGAAGCCAATGCTGTCTTAGCTGCTCTTGCTGCCAACGACTCCGATGCCGTTTAATTTCTTGGCAGTCTTTCGCTACTCGTGTGACCCTGCGTCATGGCTTGTTGGGATTCGAGCCTTGGGTCTAACCAAGCTGGGCCTTCTGTTCAAGCAAACAACTTTCAATTCTGGTAGAGAGAGGCGCTATGTTGATAGTACTTTCAAACCACTCTTCTTATTAGGCCTCGCAGCATAGTCGTAACTAGTATGGCAACCAAATTCTGTAGTATCAACATATGTTATCATAATAATAATCATACAAGCTTGATTTGAATTGATATTTTCCGCATAAAGATGTCTCAGTGTCTTTAATCCCAAATTGAGGTCCGTAGATTTGTTTTCACTTAGAACTCGGAAGTCGTATGACTTCAGTTACTTAGGAGGGCATCTTTAATATTTGAATATAGGAAGGCTTTGTTTGGTAAGTCAAATAAACTAGCTTATAATTTATTTGGTTAGCTTATAAGCTCCTTGTATTCAAATAAGCCTCGTTTGGTAGGACGAACTTTTTTAAAAAGTTCGAGCTTATTTTATCTCATAAGCTACTTTAGGTAGCTTTTCAAATAAGCTAGTTGATTTTTTTTTATTTTAGCTAGCTTATCAGCTAATTTTACCAAACACTTTTATCATATAAGCTAACTTTTCAGTTATAAGTCATAAACTCTAAGCTAGCTTATCAACTAATTTTACCAAACATAGCCGAAGCTTATAAGCTAACCAAATAAGCTATAACATAAGCTTATTTGTCGGCTATGTTTGGTAAAACTAGCTGATAGCTGATAAGCTAACTTATAACTTATATGTAAATTTTTAGCTTATGATTTATAGATAAAAAGCTAACTTATATGATAAAAGTGTTAGGTAAAATTAGCTGATAAGCTAGCTGAAATAAAAAATTCAACTAGCTTATTTAAAAAGCTACCTAAAGTAGTTTATGAGATAAGCTCGATCTTTTGTCCTACCAAACGAGGCTTATTTGAATACAGAGAACTTATAAACTAACCAAATAATCTATAAACTAGTTTATTTGGCTTACCAAACATAGCCTTAATGTTGGTGGATTTTTTTTTTCAACTTTTTTTAGTTAATACTTGTATTTTTTTATATATAGAGATTAAGTAGTCAACACGTTCTCATTCAACTAAATTTAATTTGGAGAAATTTTAAGTCCTAATCTTATCTATACCAAAGTATGATAAGATTTTTATTGTAATCCATTTATCAAAAGTGGAGTCAACTTAATAATGTAGTTAAAATATAGCCAAAACCAAATTTGTAATAACATTACGTAACTTTACTACTTTACTTCGATCACCATAATTCATAATTCATATAGATAAAAGGACAATGAACTTTGTACTATAATGTATTTTGTCAAAATGAGATAAGTTTGAAATTATAGTTGAAACAAAATTACACCAAATAAACTTTGAGATATCATCATAATGCACTTTGTCAAAATAAGAGATGTGTTTTGAAACTTATTTTGAAACCAAATTACACTGCACAAATATAATTACAAATAGCCAACATATAATAAGTAAACCAAAAAAGATAAAGTTGGCCCACATAATGCATAAACAAATAAATAAAAAGAAAAAAAAAATGAAAAGGGCAGAAAAAGAAAAAAGGGACAAAAGGGTAAAGTTGGAAATGGAAGACAAAAAGGAGACTTTAGATATGACCTAAATACCCATCTCCCACAGCATTGAGATCGCCTCTCAACCTTCGCAAACACCCTCTTCTGCCCTTCATTCTTCCCTACCTCTTTTCCCCAATTTCCCTTTTCTCTCCTTAGCCTTCTCTCTCTTCTCTCTCTCTCTCTCTCTCTTACCCGCCACTTTCAAATTCTTGTTATCCCTCTCGTCTCTCATCCTCTGTCACGGCCACCAATTGGTTCAATTCCTCTTTGCCGATGATGATTTCCGCGTGAAGTTATTCGGGCTGATCCAAATATTGGGTGTTGTGGGATTCTCTTAATCGGTTCTGGATTTGGCAAAGACTCGAGCTTGATGTTAGTATAGTATAGTCTCAGGTGGGTTTTCAATCTTTTCACCAATTTCTGTATTTGTGTGTGTATTCAGTTGCGAGTTTCAAACCCTTTTTTTTTTTTGGTTTTTCAATTCGAGTTCTGTGGATTAAAACTCTGATGAATCGACCATTTTATCTCTGTTTTGTGTTATGCTGATGGGTTGATTGGTTGATGTGTTTGAATTTGATGTTATGATAGTGAATTGTATACATTGCTGAACTTTGTGAGAAAGTGATTCTTGATTCAATATTGTTGAGTTGGAATTGAATTGAATTGAACGTCTCACTATTTGAACTGATTTCAGTCAGCTGAGATTTTTGTACATATATATATATATATATATATCCATAAGATATTGAAAATGTCTCTGTGCACACTCAGAACCCCTGCCTGTAGCTTATTGTATTAGTAATTAACCGTTAGTCGGCGTATGATGATTTGCAGCAGACGAACGAAGAGAATAAAAAATGACGACGAACCACAACATATTGCTCGAACAAAACACAAATAGCTCCTTTTCCCAAAACCTCGGTCTACAGATAGTTCAGCCCCATGACCAAGAAGAACCCCATTTACCTGAATACGAGCCTCCCGAGCACAACATCCTCCCGACAGACAACAAACCCGAGCTCGACATATCCGAACCCGACAATATATCCCACGAAACGGGCCTTTACCACTCGTCCCTCATTCTCACCCCTTCTCACGTACTTCAGCAACGGGCCCTTGAACCGGGTCCAAACTTCGAACTCCACGTGGGCCAAGAATTTGCCGACGCCAAGGCCTGCAGACGAGCCCTTCGCGACACGGCCATAGCCCTCCACTTCGAAATGCAGACAATCAAATCCGACAAAACCCGGTTCACCGCAAAATGCGCAGCTGATAACTGCCCGTGGAGAATCCACGCCGCAAAACTCCCCGGAGTCCCCACTTTCACTATCCGAACCATAAACGAAGCCCATAATTGTGGCGGCATAGCCCATCTCGGCCACCAGCAGGCCTCTGTTCAATGGGTCGCGAACTCGGTCGAGCAAAAACTCCGGGAGAACCCTAACTACAAACCGAAAGAAATACTCGAAGAAATTCACCGAACTCACGGCATAACCCTCTCGTACAAGCAAGCGTGGAGAGGGAAAGAGCGAATCATGGCTTCCATGCGTGGCTCGTTCGAGGAAGGTTATCGGTTACTCCCGCAGTATTGCGAACAAATAAGACGGACTAACCCGGGGAGTATAGCCTCGGTTTATGCGAACCCGGACGATAATTGCTTCCAGCGTCTTTTTATATCCTTCCAGGTAGGCTTGTAAACAAATCGATTTTTTTTTGTTCGATTAGATATTCGAAAGATTCGAAATCGAATGATATTTTATATTCGAAAGTTAAACGAATTCGAATCCGAATTTGTAGATATCCGATTCGAAATTATCGAATATTCGATTCATTACCGATAATTATATAAATTTTATAAATTATAAATATTACATTGTTGTTTATAATATAATATATATATCTATATATATTTGTATTCCTCATATTTTTATGACATAAAAAGAAAAAACATCCCAAATTAACAATTTGCGCTAAAAACATCTCAAATTGGATAGGAAAAACATAAACAATATTTTTGTAATTATAATTTTTTTTTTAATTATAATATTTTTCTGAAAACGAATTTCGAATCGAATCGAATATTCGAAAATTTTTCTGAAAACGAATTTCGAATCGAATTGAATATGTTCGAATATTCCAACGAATCGAATATGAATCAAAATTTGACTTCGTTTACAAATCGAATACGAATTCGAATCTTCGAATATATTAACGAATCTGAATTGAATATCTTAGTATTTGCTTTGATTCGATTCATTTACAACCCTATTTCCAGGCTTCGATATACGGGTTTTTGAACGCGTGCCGTGCGCTACTCGGGCTCGATCGAACGTATTTGAAGAGTAAGTACTTAGGGACTTTGCTTCTTGCGACGGGGTTCGACGGGGACGGGGAGCTTTTCCCGTTAGCGTTCGGCGTGGTGGACGAGGAAAGTGACGAGAATTGGATGTGGTTTCTCTCTGAGCTTCACGGTTTGCTCGAGGCCAACACAGAGAACATGCCGAGACTCACGATTCTTTCGGATAGACAAAAAGGGATTGTAGACGGAGTCGAGGCAAACTTCCCGACCGCTTTCCACGGATTCTGCATGCGCCACCTCAGCGAAAGCTTCCGTAAGGAATTTAATAATAATAATAATAATGATAATAATCTTACCCTCGTCAGCCTTCTCTGGGATGCGGCCCACGCCTTAACCGCGATCGAGCTCGAGTCGAAAATCCTCGAAATCGAGGAGATATCGCAAGACGCGGCTTACTGGATCCGTCGAGTTCCGGCTCGTTTATGGGCCACCGCTTACTTCGAAGGGACGAGATTCGGCCAATTAACGGCGAACATTCTCAATTTTTCAAACTCGTGGATTTTAGAAGCGTCGGGTTTGCCGATCATCCAAATGATGGAGTGCATAAGACGACATCTCATGACTTGGTTCAACAAGCGGCGAGAGACGAGCGCGCAGTGGACTTCGATTCTCGTCCCGAGCGCGGAGCGCCAGGTGGCGGAGGCGCTCGAGCGGGCGCGCACGTACCAAGTTTTGCGCGCCAACGAGGCGGAATTCGAGGTGATTTCTCACGAGGGAACTAATATTGTGGATATAAGAAATCGGTGTTGTATGTGTAGGGGATGGCAGCTTTATGGGCTGCCGTGCGCTCACGCGGTGGCTGCTTTGCTGTCGTGCAGGCAGAACGTGCATAGGTTTACGGAGAGTTGTTTTACGGTGGCGGCTTACCGGAAAACGTATTCTCAGACGATACATCCGGTGCCGGATAAGATAGAGTGGAAGGAAGTGGATGAGTTGGAGGGGGAGATTGTTGTTGTAAATCCGCCAAAGTTGGTGAGGCCGGCGGGAAGGCCGAGGAAGAAGAGAGTGAGAGGGGAGGATGGAGGGAGGATGAAGAGGGTTGTGCATTGTAGCCGTTGTAATCAAACGGGGCATTTTAGGACCACTTGTGCTGCACCCATATGATATGACAGATGTATTATATATAGTTTTCATTGAAAAAGAAAAAAAGGTTATGAG